TGGCCTATGGACCCAGCACAAAATTGGGTTGCAGCATCAAGAAACAGAGCGGTACTTCATCTATGATGTGTATTTATGAAATGTGGGTTTCTTGAATTCATCCAATCGAACTTTGTTGTAAAATTGATCAAAGCTTCCAGGGGTCCTAAGTTTGGAGAGCCAATATACGAGATTGGCAGTAGGTGCAAAGAAGATGCGGACTGCACCTCGTATGAGGGGTCGAAGTGCTCCACACTAGACGTCCTTTGCACCAAGCCTTAGGTGAATGCGAACATTCAAATCCTCTTAACCCTTACTCCAGTTCAAAACTGCTCCTGCACTATCCATTTAGATGGACTTTAGCGCAGTGAAACGCGCCTTTTGAATCAACTTTCGGCTTTCCCTGTTAAAGAAATAAATACTTTTCAGCACTTTGCCGTTTTTCACACTTTCAATCTTTTAACTCTTTTTCACAAATGTTGGAACTAGAGGCCCTACGAGATTCTAGATTTCCGAACCGATCAGGACTAACTTCACACTCATACACTTTGAAGCACACGAGAGTGGTTACATGATATACATGGTAGTGATCTCAAACGTTAAAGTCAGGCACTGAGACTGAAAGCAGAATCATCTTTCCTATAATTAAATAAAAAACGAATCCCAAAGAAAGACCTTTTTTGCATGTTTCCTTCAAATTTCCCTAAATTCATGATTTCTGAAAGTTGCGCAGTTGTCTACGTTTTACAGCGCAATCTTGCAAACGGATGATCTTGACACTAAGATAGTCCAGCCGCAATAAATTTTGAAAAAGTCAAAGAAAAAGAAACACGGGCTTTTGGTGCGTCTTTTGAAATAGCTCGCTGGATATTTGAAACTGAAAGTGCGCAATTGTCGGCTTATAGTGGATAAGACTTTCTGTCGAATGAGCAGAAGACGGATTTAAAAATCTCAATTTGACCTAGAAATCAGGGTTAAAAAAAACACGGTTTTTCTTATCTCCTTCGCTCCGACCAAAAAATTGAATGCTGCGCAGTTGTCTGTTCAAATATACGTTTCAACCTTCATAATTATATGCGATTTGCTTACATTAATTTACAAAGAACAGAGAAAAGGGCAACAGAGCCAAATACCCCGTGGAATACGATTGGTTGCATAGAGAGTGTGCAATTTTGAGAGGTGGCAGAGAACGACCAAAGCCGACGGGGCATTTGGCTCTAGTGGCTTATCTCGACTCCTACTCAATGAAACCTCCCACATGCATATGTCATTCTGCTCAGAATCGGATGGAGAATCCAACTCATAACTGCGCGACTCTCATAAAATCCATCATAACGAATTATTCTCTATATTCTCTTAATTTTCACTACTCAAGGCTTGATGTAAATGCTTCTATAAGTCACAATAACTATCACTTCTAACTACGCATGCCTTCCAAAGCTCTTAGACGTATCAACTGCTTTGAAAGAAATAGCTTTCGGGCGAATTCAGCGCTTGCTCCTCACATTTGTGGCCTTTGCATCAACTTCTAACTTCAAACTACATCTTTTCATTTTTCTTGGAAAAAATTCGTCATTATTGTCCCTCAAATCCACTGTTTTTATGTGCTACGATATCTTAATCTTTGTTAACAATAAAGTAAAAATTTCTTCCTTTTTTGGTCTTATAGTATCTTCAAACTTCTAGAGTGTTCCGCTCCGGGCCTTGACTTACTCAAACTCTCTTAGGTAAGGGTCCTACTCTTTCTCCGCTCATTAGTGAAGGTGACCAGAGCCGTGGCTCTATGTATTTAACCTAGATGTACGAGTATTATTGTCATTCGAGACAATATCCACTACTTTCATGGTTTTTTGGTCGTTGTGCTATCAATTATGATGAAGAAGAAGATAAGATATAAGATAAAGATGTGCTAACATTCTGAACAGAGTTTTACTTGTTATTTTTCTTTCAGCCTAGGTTTGCTTTAAAAAATTTCTATGCCGAAAATCTTAAAAACTAAACCATACTCCTTTCAGAAATAAAATTCATTTGAAAAAGAGACCTATTGACTACTGTGAAACAGCCGAGCGTAGA